TCTGAGTCGTGCTATGAACATTTGAATTTTTAAAAAATATATTGATTTCAGAGAGGAAGAGAGAGGGAGAGATAGAGACACCAATGATAAGAGAAAATCATTAATCGGCTGCCTCTTGTAGAACCCACACTGAGGATCAAGCTTGCAACTGGGGCATGTGCCCTGACCAGGAATGGAACTGTGACCTCCTTGTTCATGGGTTAACGCTCAACCACTGAGAAACACTGGCCATGCTGAACATTTGATTTTTTAAAAAATGGTTTGCTTTTAAAAGGAGCTTGTCAGGTTTGAGAAGGCTTTCCCAACCAGTAACTCAGACCCTGGTGCACACAAAGAACAGCCAATACCAAGAGACTATTTAAAAAGAAAAGCTCTTGCAAATAAGAGTAGCTATTTTTTCTTTCTGATGGTTACCAGGTTTTCCTTGTTTTCTGAAATTGCCTTTAAAGTAACACCTGAGGATTGAACTTATAATTACTTTGTACTTCCTCCAGAACTTTATGAATCAATTCCTCCATGCTGCTTTGGTCTCTGTAGTCACCTAGACAGGTGGTGCTCTTCCTATTATTTTGAAGAGAAGTATGGTATAACCCACCTCAAATGTTTTAAGGTAGCATTTTGCAATGACACATATAAAGCCTCATTCCCTTCTGAAGCTACATTCATATTTACTGACTAATGTGTATAAATCATACCTTTTGCCTTCAGAGTAAAAAGTTACATATTAAGTGCTATGGAGTTCATCAAATGGAGAAATTACCTGGGAGAAGGAAGAATTAAAAAGGCCTTTTTCTAGGGTGCTTTTACCAACACTTTCACTTCCATAGTTTTCTACATGCTGTTCTCTTTTCCCCTCTCCTTTACTCCCCAATTTCTACCCATCGTTCAGGTATCATCTTTAAAAATTCTTCAAGACTTCTTTTGTCTTCTCCCATCCCCAGCAAGTGTAAGTATCCCTGACTGCCCTCCCATTGTACCCTATACTTCCCCATCATTTAATTATTATCCATTGTCATTCTTCCCCACCTAACTGTAAGCTCCATGAGGTCAGAGCTCAGGTCCTGTATCCACAACGTTTCAGAATACTTGCAACATAGTAAGCATGCAACAGATATTTGCTGAATAAATGAAATAAATTAGAGAGATTATTTTTAGCTTTCTATAAAGGTTTGAATGGAATTCTGGCATGTGGAGATAGAAGGGCAAGAACATTTTAGAGAAAGAGAACATCACTTTAATGAGAGATAACAGCTTTTTAAAACTTTTTTATTTGAATTTATTGGTGTGACATTGGTTAATAAAATTATATAGGTTTCAGATGTACTGTAATATATCATCTGTATATTGTATTGTGTGTTCAACACCCCAAGTGAGCGAGGACAGCTTTTGGCAGCTCCAAATTGAAATTACCTAGAGCACTTTTCTTTTATCAATTTAAAACAAATTGTTCAGTTGAAGCCCACGAATGTGCCAGGAAGCTACCACATAGAAATCCTATATAATAAAAGCCTAATACGCAAATCAACGGAACAGCAGAACGACCTGTGAAATGACCGGTTGCTATGACATGCACTGACCACCAGGGGGCAGACGCTCAATGCAGGAGCTGCCCCCAGCTTGCAGGCCCCAGGCCAACCAAGACAGGTGCCAGCAGGGGTCCTTTGATCACCCCACTGGTCGCCCCACAGAGGGAGGGGACTGGCAGCGGCAGGCAGCAGTGGGGGGCAGGGCTGGCTGGCAAGCGGGTGCCACCCCCCACCCCGATCGCCTGTTGGTCGCCTCCTGCAGAGGGAGGCAACTGGTGACAGGGGGTGAGGCGGGCAAGTGGGTGGCACCAGGCCAGCCAAGGCAGTTGCCAGCGGCCACCCCCTCCCGCCGCCCCCCCAGCTGATCACCCCACAGATCAGCCCTGATCCCCGGCCAGGGCTAGAGATCCTACCCATGCATGAATTTTGTGCACCCAGCCTCTAGTTGTAATATAATTACAGCTTTTCTTTCCACCCTGAGAGATAACAAAGCTTCATTTTTAAAAAATATTTTTTTATTGATTTCAGAGAGGCAGGGAGAGGGAGAGAGAGATAGAAACATCAACAATGAGAAAGAATCATTGATCAGCAGCCTCCTGCAGCACACCCCACACTGGGGATCAAGCCTGCAACCCAGGCATATGCCCTAACCCGGAATTGAACCGTGACATCCATAGGTCAATGCTCAACCACTGAGCACCAGAAAGGCG